GCCTACTTCTGCCTGCTCCTACCTGCTCCTGCCTGCTCCTGCCTCCTTCTGCCTGCTTCTACCTGCTCCTGCCTGTTTTGTCTGCTCCTGCCTATTTTTGTGTGCTCCTGTCTGCTCCTGCCTGCCCCTGCCAGTTACTGCCTGCTCATGCCAGCTCCCGCCTGCTCCTATCTCCTCCTGCATGCTCCCGCCTGCTTCTGCCTGTTCGTGCCTGCTCCTGCCTGCACTTGCCTGATCCGGCTAGCTTCTGCCTGTTCATGCCTGCTCCTGCCTACTTCTGCCTGTTTATGCTTGCTCCTGCCTGTTTCCGCCTGTTTCTGGTTACTCCTGCTTGTTTCTGCTTGCTCCTGCCTGCTTTCGCCTGCTTCTGCTTGCTCCTGCTTGCTCCTGCCTGCTTTCGCCTGCTTCTGCTTGCTCCTGCTTGCTCCTGCCTGCTTTCGCCTGCTCCTGCTTGCTCCTGCCTGCTTTCGCCAGCTGCTTGCTCCTGCTTGCTCCTGCCTGCTTTCGCCTGCTTCTGCTTGCTCCTGCCTGCTTTCGCCTGCTCCTGCTTGCTCCTGCCTGCTTTCGCCAGCTGCTTGCTCCTGCTTGCTCCTGCCTGCTTTCGCCTGCTTCTGCTTGCTCCTGCCTGCTCCTGCCTGCTTCCGCCTGCTTCTGCCTGCTCCTGATGTTACATTTGATGGGGCTTCGATAGAAGCCCCATCAAAATAGCCCCAATATTTTCTTGTGCTGAACTCTCTAATGTCTGATCTTTCTGTGCCTGTGAAAGCTTATGCAGCTTTCTGGTCAGTTTGAATTTTTTTTCGTTTTCATTCTCAGATCTTCATCGTTTGCTCTTCATGCTCCTTTGACATGTTCTGGCTAATGAACACCTCAATGGTAAGGCACTCAATCCCTCAGCTGTCTTATTTTCAGTCGGAATATATTTCACCGGAGCAATATTCTGAAAGATCTTTATCAGTAATGATTCTGTCCATATTTGGAATTTACCGTCCCTACAGTAATGTTTTATTTTCCAGGTTTGCTGACTAGTCCATAATTGGCTTGAGAATTTTTGAAATCTCTTTCTCGTCCCATCCTCTTCTGCTTTGTCATTTGTCTCCCTCTGGCTCTGGTAGATTATAGAGTACCACGGATTTCTCTGGTCAGTAATTTAACAATTTGTCGAGATCTTACAGCATCTGGGAGCCGGTCGGCCGAGCGGACAGCACACTAGACTTGTGATCCTGTGGTCTCGGGTTCGATCCCGGGCGCCGGCGAGGAACAATGGGCACAGTTTCTTTCACCCTATGCCCCTGTTACCTAGCAGTAAAATAGGTACCTGGGTGTTAGTCAGCTGTCACAGGCTGCTTCCTGGGGTGGAGGCCTGGTCGAGGACCACCTGTGTGTGTGTGTGTGTGTGTACTCACCTAGTTGTACTCACCTAGTTGTGTCTGCAGGATCGAGCATTGACTCTTGGATCCCGCCTTTCGAGCATCGGTTGTTTACAGCAATGACTCCTGTCCCATTTCCCTATCATACCTGGTTTTAAAATTATGAATAGTATTTGCTTCCACAACCTGTTCCTGAAGTGCATTCCATTTCCCCACTACTCTCACGCTAAAAGAAAACTTCCTAACATCTCTGTGACTCATCTGAGTTTCAAGCTTCCATCCATGTCCCCTCGTTCTGTTACTATTCCGTGTGAATATTTCGTCTATGTCCACTCTGTCAATCCCTCTGAGTATCTTATACGTTCCTATCATGTCCCCCCTCTCCCTTCTTCTTTCTAGTGTCGTAAGGCACAGTTCCCTCAGGCGCTCCTAATACCCAATCCCTCGTAGCTCTGGGACGAGTCTCGTTGCAAACCTCTGAACCTTTTCCAGTTTCATTATATGCTTCTTCAGATGGGGACTCCATGATGAGGCGGCATACTCTAAGACTGGCCTTACGTAGGCAGTGTAAAGCGCCCTAAATGCCTCCTTACTTAGGTTTCTGAATGATGTTCTAACTTTTGCCAGTGTAGAGTACGCTGCTGTCATTATCCTATTTATATGTGCCTCAGGAGATAGATTAGGTGTGTGTGTGTGTGTGTGTGTGTGTGTGTGTGTGTGTGTGTGTGTGTGTGTGTGTGTGTGTGTGTGTGTGTGTGTGTGTGTGTGTGTGTGTGTGTGTGTGTGTGTGTGTGTGTGTGTGTACTCACCTATTTGTACTCACCTAGTTGTGCTTGCGGGGGTTGAGCTTTGGCTCTTTGGTCCCGCCTCTCAACTGTCAATCAACTGGTGTACAGATTCCTGAGCCTACTGGGCTCTATCATATCTACATTTGAAACTGTGTATGGAGTCAGCCTCCACCACATCACTGCCTAATGCATTCCATCCGTTAACTACTCTGACACTGAAAAAGTTCCTTCTAACGTCTCTGTGGCTCATGTGGGTACTCAGTTTCCACCTGTGTCCCCTTGTTCGCGTCCCACCAGTGTTGAATAGTTTATCCTTGTTTACCCGGTCGATTCCTCTGAGGATTTTGTAGGTTGTGATCATGTCTCCCCTTACTCTTCTGTCTTCCAGTGTCGTAAGGTGCATTTCCCGCAGCCTTTCCTCGTAACTCATGCCTCTTAGTTCTGGGACTAGTCTAGTGGCATACCTTTGGACTTTTTCCAGCTTCGTTTTGTGCTTGACAAGGTACGGGCTCCATGCTGGGGCCGCATACTCCAGGATTGGTCTTACATATGTGGTGTACAAGATTCTGAATGATTCCTTACACAGGTTCCTGAACGCTGTTCTGATGTTAGCCAGCCTCGCATATGCCGCAGACGTTATTCTTTTTATGTGGGCTTCAGGAGACAGGTTTGGTGTGATATCAACTCCTAGATCTTTCTCTCTGTTCGTTTCATTAAGTACTTCATCTCCTATTCTGTATCCTGTGTTTGGCCTCCTATTTCCACTGCCTAGTTTCATTACTTTGCATTTACTCGGGTTGAACTTCAACAGCCATTTGTTGGACCATTCACTCAGTCTGTCTAGGTCATCTTGTAGCCTCCTACTATCGTCCTCAGTTTCAATCCTCCTCATAATTTTTGCATCATCGGCAAACATTGAGAGAAACGAATCTATACCCTCTGGAAGATCATTTACATATATCAGAAACAGTATAGGTCCAAGGACTGACCCCTGCGGGACTCCACTCGTAACGTCTCGCCAATCTGAGACCTCACCCCTCACACTGACTCGTTGTCTCCTGTTGCTTAGGTACTCCTGTATCCAACGGAGTACCTTCCCTTTCACTCCAGCCCGCATCTCCAGTTTTTTCACTAGCCTCTTGTGTGGCACTGTATCAAAAGCTTTCTGACAATCCAAAAATATGCAGTCTGCCCACCCTTCTCTTTCTTGCCTTATTTTTGTTGCCTGGTCGTAGAATTCAAGTAACGCTGTGAGGCAGGACCTGCCATCCCTGAATCCATGTTGATGCTGTGTTACAAAGTTCTTTCGCTCCAGATGCTCCACTAGCTTTCTTCGCACAATCTTCTCCATCAACTTGCATGGTATGCAGGTTAGGGACACTGGCCTGTAGTTCAGTGCCTCCTGTCTATCCCCTTTCTTGTATATCGGGACTACGTTAGCTGCTTTCCAAATTTCTGGCAGTTCCCCTGTTGCCAGTGATTTGTTATACACCATGGAGAGCGGGAGGCACAGTTCTTCTGCTCCTTCCTTTAGTATCCAAGGGGAGATTCCATCTGGGCCTATAGCCTTTGTCACATCCAACTCTAGTAAACACTTCCTTACTTCCCCGCTGGTAATCTCAAACTCTTCCAGTGGTTCCTGGTTAGCTATTCCCTCTCTTATCTCTGGGATTTCTCCTTGCTCCAAGGTGAAGACCTCCTGGAATTTCTTATTCAGTTCCTCACACACTTCCTTGTCGTTTTTAGTGAATCCTTCTGCCCCTATCCTTAATTTCACAACATGTTCCTTTACTGTGGCTGTGCAGCAATTTAGGCTTTTTGCTTGCTTGCGATGTCATTTTGGTATTGTCTTTCTGCCTCTCTTCTCATCCTGACATATTCATTCCTGGCATTCTGGTATCTTTCTCTGCTCTCCAGTGTCCTGTTATTCCTATAGTTCTCCATTTCCTGTGTGTGTGTGTGTGTGTGTGTGTGTACTCACCTAATTGTACTCACCTAGTTGTGCTTGCTGGGGTTGAGCTCTGGCTCTTTGGTCCCGCCTCTCAATTGTCAATCAACTGGTGTACAGATTTCTGAGCCTACTGGGCTCTACTATATCTACATTTGAAACTGTGTATGGAGTCAGCCTCCACCACATCACTGCCTAATGCATTCCATTTGTCAACCACTGACACTAAAAAAGTTCTTTCTAATATCTCTGTGGCTCATTTGGGCACTCAGTTTCCACCTGTGTGCCCCTTGTGTTAAATAACCTGTCTTTATCTTTCCTGTCGATTCCCTTGAGAATCTTGAATGTGGTGATCATGACCCCTTTAACTCTTCTGTCTTCCAACGAAGTGAGGTTTAATTCCCGTAGTCTCTCCTCGTAGCTCATACCTCTCAGCTAGGGTACTAGTCAGGTGGCAAACCTTTGAACCTTTTCCAGTTTAGTCTTATGCTTGACTAGATATGGACTCCATGCTGGAGCCGCATACTCCAGGATTGGTCTGACATATGTGGTATATAATGTTCTGAAAGATTCCTTTCACAAGTTTCTAAAGGCCGTTCTTATGTCAGCCAACCTGGCATATGCTGCTGATGTTATCCTCTTGATATGAGCTTCAGGGGACAGGTCTGGCGTGATATCAACCCCCAGGTCTCTCTCTCTCTGACTCTTGAAGTATTTCATCTCCCAAATAATACTTTGTATCTGGTCTCCTGCTTCCTACCCCTATCTTCATTACATTACAGTTGCTTGGGTTAAACTCTAACAACCATTTGTTCGACCATTCCTATGTGTGTGTGTGTGTGTGTGTGTGTGTGTGTGTGTGTACTCACCTAATTGTACTCACCTAATTGTGCTTGCGGGGGTTGAGCTTTGGCTCTTTGGTCCCGCCTCTCAATTGTCAATCAACTGGTGTACAGATTTCTGAGCCTACTGGGCTCTACTATATCTACATTTGAAACTGTGTATGGAGTCAGCCTCCACCACATCACTTCCTAGTGCATTCCATTTATTAACTACTCTGACACTGAAAAAATTCTTTCTAACGTCTCTGTGGCTCATCTGGGTACTAAGTTTCCACCTGTATCCCTTTGTTCGTGTTCCACCCGTGCTGAAGAGTTTGTCTTTGTCCACCCTGTCAATTCCCCTTAGAATTTTGTGGGTGGTTATCATGTCTCCCCTTACTCTGCTGTTTTCCAGGGACGAGAGGTTCAGCTCCTTCAGCCTTTCCTCGTAGCTCATACCTCTCAGTTCCGGGACAAGTCTGGTGGCATACCGCTGAATCTTCTGTAACTTTGTCTTGTGTTTAACTAGATATGGACTCCAGGCAGGAGCTGCATTTTCCAGGATTGGTCTGACATAAGTGGTATACAGGGTCCTGAACGATTCCTTACAAGGTTTCTATAATTCTATAATTCCTTTCATAACTGCAATTTTCAATAATTAAGTAAACGGGTGAATAGCTTATTTACCTGAATTTACCTGAGTGTTGCTATCTCTAGGGGCCTCGACTGAGTACAAGATGCTGAGGGCACACAGCAGGTCCTCTCATTTTATTTATATATTTTTTTAGATTGTTAAACATTTATGTCTCGGGCAAAAAGGCGATTGAGACCGTCCTCGGAGCAAATCTATTACCAGGAGTAACCATCCGTTCTGTCAAACCACCTGGATAATTATCTAGATATTTGTGATGGTCTGAAAGCATATTACTGTTCCATTAACAGTCTACTTGTAAACAGGCAAGGGAAATTTTGTCCTAAAGAGAGATTATTATATAGTTCTAACTTTATTGTATTATAAATCGTTTGTTTAAAATATGAAGTATATGCTGAAAACGTTTTCTTAGAAACGGTTAAAGAAATTTGTTTTCTGTAAACAAAAAACAAGGGCACACTTAAATACTTTTTGAATCCCATATTTCAAAATTTGGAATATATTATATTGTATTAACATAACCAAATGTAATGAAACTTGAGCTAACCAAACCTTAACCCCTAGAGTAACCTTAACCTAACCTAACCATAGATAGAGTAGATAATAACACTAATTATGTTGTAGTTCTCAATTCATTAACCGGAGCGTATTTCCTTCCGATTCCATGAATTTATTTCATACTGTTGAAAAAGCATCTGCTGTTTACTGTCCATCATCGCGCCTCGTTGAACTTGAAGCGTTGAGTCTTGAGTTAAATTGGACCTTTCAAGGAAGTGGTCTGAATTAATTTTTCCTAATTTGTGCAATGTTTCAAAGTTCTCGATGAGACCAGCTGTTTATGTATGGAAGATAATGATTGTAGATAACCTGTGAGGTGTAGAGCCAGTCACTCTTCCAGTATATATATTAGTTTGCTCACTTGTTATATGGGAAAGGTTGAAGGAATATCACTTTACGTACTAATGCAAGTTGGAAATTATACGAGAAGCGCAAATTGCTCATAAACATGCAGATTTGTCAATGAATGTGAAGAATTACAAGTTTTCGAACCTTTACTCACACTTTATATATACTAGGACCATTGTCTTCACGAGTTGATATTTTTGAATAGAGATAAAGAATTTTCAGGGCAACTAAGATGGAATATTCCTATTATTAAACAGAGTGAAACACAAATAACAGATACAACATAAACAACAATGCTAATACAGTATTACTTCAGTTATTTGCTTCTATCAGGAAAATTAGAAATAAAATAAATAATACCAAAGTAATATCAAACTACTACTACAACAATTCATTGTTTTTTAAATATAAGCGTACCACCTCTGGTACAATTGTAGGGACCCATAACCATGGAGAAGCGAATTAAAAGTATTCAGAAAAAAAATTCGCTGTTTGACTCTAAACACATTTGAGCATTCGCTTCTCCTTTCACCCCTTTTGTTTGTTTTTTAAATGTATTGCTAATTATATACAATAGTTGTAGTCATTATGAATGCATAATCCTGCTTTGCTACTGATCATTGTATGACAAAAGTGCATGTCACACTTTCATATATATATATATATATATATATATATATATATATATATATATATATATATATATATATATGTCGTACCTAGTAGCCAGAACTCACTTCTCAGCCTACTATTCAAGGCCCGATTTGCCTAATAAGCCAAGTTTTCCTGAATTAATATATTTACTATAATTTTTTTCTTATGAAATGATAAAGCAACCCTTTTCTCTATGTATGAGGTCAATTTTTTTTTTATTGGAGTTAAAATTAACGTAGATATATGACCGAACCTAGCCAACCCTACCTAACCTAACCTAACCTATATTTATAGGTAAGGTTAGGTTAGGTAGCCAAAAAAAGCTAGGTTAGGTTAGGTTAGGTAGGTTAGGTAGACGAAAAAAACATTAATTCATGAAAACTTGGCTTATTAGGCAAATCGGGCCTTGAATAGTAGGCTGAGAAGTGAGTTCTGGCTACTAGGTACGACATATATATATATATATATATATATATATATATATATATATATATATATATATATATATATATATATATATATATAATATTTATGATCGATGTTCCCTTCGGGAATCTTAATTTTAAGATGAATAGGAAAACCAGGGATATACTGAACATCTTGTATCAGAATCTTTACTTTAAAAAACATAACGTTTCGAATACTTCTCGTATTCATCATCAGATCTAAAAGAAAAAACAGAAATCACAATCAAATAACTGGTAAACAAAGAACTCATACTGAATATAATTGCCTATCAAAGAAAGGAAAATGCTTAAAAAACAAAACACTTAATTCTCTGCTGGAATCTGATTTTAAAATTCTGGACACTTGTATGAATGGCCAGTCAGATTTGAGAGTAATGGAATCCTTATATATAAAGGAGCTGCGGCCTCTGTTAAATAGCAACCTTTCAGCTGTTCAATTGTACACTGTATAGTGCACAGTAGGCCCTGTAATTTGATTTTTAGTTTATTTTGGTAGTTTAATTTTGTTTAGTTTACCATGTCTTTGCCCTTTCTTACTTATTTCAAGTCTTAACATTGTACATTAATATAATCTTTTATTTAGGATATATAATACATTTTTTGGTATTTAATTTTATTTAAAATTTGAGTTATTTTAAGATTTTGGTTAGTACTTTATAATTGTCGTTTATTCTGTTTGTATTTTACATACATTTTTTGTAGATTTGTAGTCATTATATAAGTATTTGCTATAGTGTTTAGTATCTATGTGTTAGGTATCAAGTTTCACTTCTGATCACTTCACGTAAGCTTAATGGAATGGTTTGTTTTAGTAGTTATAAATTTCATCTTGTAGTTTAATGGATTTTAAATTAGTTTTAATATATGTGACAGTTAATAAGTTTTATTTGTACTGATCACTTTAAGTGCGCTTAAGTGTTTTGTTTTTTAAGCATTTTCCTTTCTTTGATAGGCAATTATATTCAGTATGAGTTCTTTGTTTACCAGTTATTTGATTGTGATTTCTGTTTTTTCTTTTAGATCTGATGATGAATACGAGAAGTATTCGAAACGTTATGTTTTTTAAAGTAAAGATTCTGATACAAGATGTTCAGTATATCCCTGGTTTTCCTATTCATCTTAATATATATATATATATATATATATATATATATATATATATATATATATATATATATATATATATATATATATATATTTCATGTATATATTTTGGAATTTGTAAAGTAAAGTTCATATAATTTTGTTCACTCCTACATCTACCTACAGCTCTATAGGCGGAGAAAAACGAGATCAACAATCACATTTTACTTACATAAAATGTTTTTTACAAAATAACACAGCGTCGATGCCTTAAGTGGCGTCAGTCAAGACAGCGAAGAATAAGTACAATGTCGGGGGTGTGTGGTTTTAGAGGATCCGGTTGCATGTTTACCCTTACTGGGGATTGAAGAACGTTTCTGGCATCGTTAGAGATAAGCTCATTAGCTGGAGAAAGCACTAAGCAATTACGACTATATAGCACTTGGAAGGGATGAGAATAAGTATTTAGGATAGGACTGTGGGAAGGAATGGTGGCCAACCACTTGGACGGGCGGGGATTGAACGCCGACCTGTATGAAGCGAGGCGGTCGCTCTACCATCCTGGTAACGCCAAAGACTCAGTCGATTCTGACGCCATTTTGGCTGCCACTTATGTAGCGTAGTTTCGGGTGAGCAAGTAGGATGGTTCCATACATCATCAGACTGGAACGAATAAAAGTGCAGACAAATCTGGTTTAAGTCCTTTTTAAATCTTGAATGTCCATTTTTAGCTCTTCGTGGAAGTCTTAGGTTTGGGTCCTCCAGTTTTCCGTCCTAAGCTCCCGAGTGCATCCTTCAGAGAGGTGCTTCTTGGGGAACCTCCGCTAGTAACGCTACTGTTGGAAGTATCACCGCTCGGGGAGATACTTACCGGATCGCTAGACGAGCCACTGGAAGGAAAGCCAGAGTTACCAAAGCCGGTGGCAGGGAACCCTGAGTTACCAAAGCCGGTGGCAGGGAAGCCAGAGTTACCAAAGCCGGTAGCAGGGAAGCCAGAGTTACCAAAGCCGGTGGCAGGGAAGCCAGAGTTACCAAAGCCGGTGGCAGGGAACCCTGAGTTACCAAAGCCGGTGGCAGGGAATCCTGAGTTACCAAAGCCGGTAGCAGGGAACCCTGAGTTACCAAAGCCGGTAGCAGGGAACCCTGAGTTACCAAAGCCGGTAGCAGGGAAGCCTGAGTTACCAAAGCCAGTAGCAGGGAACCCTGAGTTACCAAAGTTGGTAGCAGGGAACCCTGAGTTACCAAAGCCGGTGGCAGGGAACCCTGAGTTACCAAAGCCGGTGGCAGGGAACCCTGAGTTACCAAAGCCGGTAGCTGGGAAGCCTGAGTTACCAAAGCCAGTAGCAGGGAACCCTGAGTTACCAAAGTTGGTAGCAGGGAACCCTGAGTTACCAAAGTTGGTAGCAGGGAACCCTGAGTTACCAAAGCCGGTAGCAGGGAATCCAGAATTACCGAACCCAGTTGTCGGGAAGCCTGAGTTTCCGAAACCAGAGTTACCAAAGCCAGTAGCAGGGAACCCAGAATTGCCGAAACCGGTTGTAGGTAAACCTGAGTTACCAAAGCCGGTTGCAGGGAAGCCTGAGTTACCGAAGCCACCAGTATTAGTTCCTGAGTTACCAAACCCGGTTGCAGGGAAGCCTGAGTTACCGAAGCCACCAGTATTAGTTCCTGAGTTACCAAACCCGGTTGCAGGGAATCCAGAATTACCGAAGCCCCCAGTATTTGTCCCTGTGTTACCGAAGCCACCAGCGGGGAATCCAGTGTTTCCGAAGCCACCTGTAGGGGAGCCTTGGGAGCCAAGATTGTTTCCATTACCGGAGTCCCCGGAGTCTCCAATGCCCAAGTCCTCGTCGGTTAAACCAAAGCCCCTCAACGCATTAAGTAAGTCTGGAGTATTAGTGAAAGCAAAGGGGGAATTTAAACCAGTTTGTGACGCAAATCCTCCTGGCAGAGCAAAGCCGCCTGGTGAACCAAAGCCACCTTGAGAACCTAGACCGCCTGGTGATCCAAAGCCACCTTGAGAACCTAAACCACCTTGTGAATTAAAGCCACCTTGAGAACCTAAACCACCAGGCGAGCCGAAGCCACCTTGAGAACCTAAACCACCTGGTGAACCAAAGCCCCCTTGAGAACCTAAACCACCCGGGGAGCCAAAGCCACCTTGAGAACCTAAACCACCCGGGGAGCCAAAGCCACCTTGAGAACCTAAACCACCCGGGGAGCCAAAGCCACCTTGTCCATCATTCGAGGAGCCCCTGTTTCTGTTCGCATCATCTACATAGGTGGTGGTGGTCCGGCCGTCGTCGAAGCCGCCTGGTCTGCTTTGACCTCTCTGTCTTGGTGATCCTCCGTCTGATGAACCTCCGCGTCTAGTTCCTCTCGGTGCGTCTCTGTCGGCGTCTCCAAGCCCAAGCTGCGGCCTGGCCACCGACGAGCCCAATAGCAGCACCAGCAGGAGGAGACTGGAACTCTGCTGGAAGGCAACTATCTTTAAATACATGAGTATGAACAGACTAACACACAGACAAGTACACACTCTCTCTCTCTCTCTCTCTCTCTCTCTCTCTCTCTCTCTCTCTCTCTCTCTCTCTCTCTCTCTCTCTCTCTCTCTCTCTCTCTCTCTCTCTCTCTCTCTCTCTCTCTCTCTCTCTCTCTCTCTCTCTCTCTCTAAGAGAAGGAGGGTGTAGGGGGTTTCCCCTACGAACCTCTAGTGTAGGGGAAGGTCAGGGTGACCCTATAATGAAGATGATCATCCAAGTATGAAGGGAATCAGAAGGGGGACTGCAAGACATGAGGGAAACAATAAGCAGCCTACAAGGTGAGCTGAGCGCAGCGGGGGAGGAGATAAAAAGCCTCAACGAGAACTCCACTCAGGCTCAGTATCAGACAACAACCATCTGGCTAGAAGCTGGAATATAACAATAGAACGGACATCTCCCTTATATACATCATTTGTAGACATGCTAAGAAATAACACAGAAACTATGACCATAGTGAAGGAAGTAGCCATGACAGCAGCAACTTCACAGAAAGTAGCGAGGTGCACTAGTCAGTTGCTGGAAAAGAAAAGACCTGTGGTAGTAGTAGTAGTAGTAGTCCTTACAGGTGAAGAAGGTTTCACTCTGGCAGAGTGGAAAGCTAAGGACAAAGTTGCAGTGACAGTGATCCTAAAAGGGGTACAGAGGGAGAGGGGCAAACACAACATAGAGAGGGTTTCCTGACTTGGTTGGTACATCAAGGACACATTCCAATTTATAAAGATTGTGTTCATGAACGAGACCACAAAAGAGGAAATTCTAGCAAAACGAGCCAGCTGTTAAATGTAAGTGAATACCAGAAGGCATTCGTGCAGAAGGATATGACAAGGGACCAGAGAATCACGGCAGCAGACGCAAGGTTAGAAGTGCAGGGGGGAACAAAAAGAACCAGAGAACCAAAGTCCTCAACTCAACAATCTAAGACAGGAGAAGGGAGAACCCGCGAAGCAATCACAGAGAGGAATACAACACCCTCTCCTTTCTCCCAATAGGAACCCTCCTCACCCTGTACCCTCCCTCCTTTGTACTCCCTTCCCTTGGCCTTCCAGCCCTCACACCATAATCCTCCAAGGTCATGTTAGCTATCTCACAATTCGCCACACCCATGGGACAATTTCCTACACATTCGGAACGCCCTGCAAGGAAGAGAGAAAACGAGAATAGACAAAATAAAGTAAGCTTTAAGGCAATGTACTCATAAATTGATGGAATTACAGATCAAACAAGGGAACGTGGAGAAAGGTCATAAGAAGAAAACCTAGACATTATAGAAGTCACAAAGACAAAATTAACAGAAGTCATAAAGAAAGCAGTATTCTGTAGAATACTATGAGATAAGAAAAGAGTAGAAAGAAGAGGTGGAGACGAGTGGCTCTGCTGATACAGGAAAGACTGAAGTATTGAAGATATGGATATGCCCGGCTGTGAAGTGTTCAGCAACTACATAACAGGCACTAGACAAGACTACATAAGTTCAGCACCTACATAACAGGCAATAATTAATATTAGTAGAGATATATAACCCCCACCAAATGACAGAAAACCCAGACAGGAATATGATAGAAATAACAAGGCAACAAATAATGTAATAGGGAAAGCAGCTTCTGTCACTTGCAGGACTGGATCCAGACTGTTAATCACGGGAGATTTCAACCATAGAAAGACAGACTGGAAGACCTGAGATCCACATGGAGGACCAAATACCTTGAGAGCTAAACTACTGGATGAGGTAACAAGAAACTTCCGAAGCCAACACGTCAATGGACCCAAAATAATGAGAGAGGATGATGAACAAGCTAGACTTGATCTGATATTCACCCCAAATGAGTCGGATATAATGGAAGTTATGTTGGAAGCCTCAATGGGATTGGGTGACCATAGCGTACTGATATTTGAGTGCCTGGTGGAAGTTGAAATGATCTCCCCAAAGACAGAACCAGTCAAGAAAGGGCTGGCATACCGAAAAGAAAACTATGTGAAGATGATAATATTTCTAATAGAAATACCTTGGGAAAAACAAAAGAGGAATCCATGGTTACTCAGACATGTAAGGAAGCAAAGCAATTAAATAGAAGGAAATGGATGAACTTCAGAAATAATAGACCAGAGAGCAGAAGGAGATATCAGAGGGCCAGAAATGAGTATCTCAGTGTTAGGAGAGAAGCAGAGAGACAGTATGAAAAGAACATAGCAAATAATGCCAAGACCGAACCCAAACTGCTTTACAGTCACATCATGAGGACAACATCAGTGATAAAACAGGTGACGAAACTGAGAATGGGTGAGGACAGGTACACAGAGAATGATAAAGAGGTGTATGTGAAGGACTCAACAAGTGATTCCATGTGGTTCTCTCAACAGCACGAGAAGTCCCTGAACTAAGAGAGGTGACAATAAATCACGAAGTTTTGAAAGATTTCGAAATCACTAGAGATGAGGTTAGGTGTCACGATCTGGACATGAGGAAGGCTGATGGACCTGACGGAATTTCGCCATGTATACAAAGGGTGTGTTGGTACACTATACTTGCCACTCCGCTTGGTGAATAATTGGCCATTGGAAACCGGAGACCTACCAGACAGCTAATGTAGTTCCAATATACAAAAGAAAGAGTGACAGACAAGAGGCACTGAACGACAGGCCAGTGTCCTTATCTTGTACACCAAGAGAAGATCATGAGAAAAAACCTAGTTGTCCTTGGTTGTTCCACAAACCCTTGGTTGTCCCACATGTTTATTAGAATGCTACAACTTGGTGTCGAAGGTTAAGCAAGACAGAGAAGGGTGGCCAGACTCCATTTTCTTGGAGTGTCAGAAAGTTTTAATAAAGTACCTTATAAGAGGCTGGTGCATTAGTTGGAGTAACAGGTAGGAGTAACAGGTAACAGTGGATAAAGCATTACGTAAGTGGTTGGAAGCAGAGTGTTACTGTGAGGGGTAAGACCTCAGAATGGCAAACATTCACCAAGGGAGTCCCACAGGGGTCTGTTCTCAAACCTATCCTGTTTCTGATATACATAAATGATCTTAAAGAAAGTATAGGCTCATTCCTCTCAATGTTTGCTGACAATGATAAACTTGTGAGAAGGGTTAAAACAGATGAGGCCAGTAAGAGACTACAAGATGAACTCGAAAAACTGAAGGAATGGTCCAAAATGACTAATTTAACTCAAGCAAGGGTAAAGTTTTGATGATAGGTAATTGGGAGCAGGAGGCCACATACACGATATCAATTGCAAGATGAGGTCCTTCAAGAACCAGGGAGAGAGAAAGATCTGGTGTTGATATCATGCTGGACTTGTCACCCGAGACCCACATCAAGAGGATATAATCAATGGCATATGCCCTGCTGGTCAAAATAAGAACTGCCTTTAAAAACTTGTGTATGGAATAATTTTGAACCTTGTACACAAAATACGTCAGACCAATTCTAGAGTTTGCAGCTCCAGCATGGATTCCGTAATTAGTCAAGCACGAGACTAAATTGGAGAAGGTTCATGGATATGCCACCAGACTAGTACCATAACCCAGTACGATGAGCTACAAGGAAAGACTACGGGAGTTAAACTTCATGTTGATGCAAGACAGAAGAGTTACGGGAGAAATGATCACTACATACAAGACTTTCAGAGGAATTGATAGAGAAGATGGAACCAGATTATTTAATAGAGAGGTAGTACATGCATAAGGGAACACAGGTGGAACTTGAGTACCCAAATGAGCCACACAGACATTAGAAAGAACCTTTTCAGTGTCAGAGTAGTTAACAAATGGAAAGTGATAGGCAGTGATGTGGTGGAAACTGATTCCATACACAGTTTGAAATCTAGATATGATAGAGCCCAATGGACACGGCAACAGTTGATCGACAATAGTTGAGTGACAGTTCAGAGGAGGAACCGAGCTCAAGCCTAGCAAGCACAATTAGGTGAGTAAAATTAGGTGAAAAAACACACACACACACACACACACACACACACACTGGTCTGGTAGAGAAGGTCTGGTAGCTGAGTGGACAGCGCGCGGGGCTCGTAATCATGTGGCCCGGGTTCGATTCCCGGAGTCGGCAGAGACAAATGAGCAGAGTTTCTTTCATCCCGATGCCCCTGTTGCCTAGCAGTAAATAGGTACCTTGGAGTTAAACAGCTGTTACGGTCTGATTCCTGTGTGTGTGTGTGTGTGTGTGTGTGTGTGTGTGTGTGTGTGTGTGTGTGTGTGTGTGTGTGTGTGTGTGTGTGTGTGTGTGTGTGTGTGTGTGTGTGTGTGTGTGTGTGTGTGTGTGTGTGTGTGTGTGTGTGTGTGTGTGTGTGTGTGTGTGTGTGTGTGTGTGTGTGTGTGTGTTGAAAAAAATTAGTTAACTAGCTCTTAGTAACAGTTGATTGATTGACAGTTGCGAGGCGGACCGAAAGAGCAGAGCTCAACCCCCGCAAGGCCAACTAGGTGAATACAACTAGGTGAATACACACACACACACACACACACACACACACACACACACACACACACACACACACACACACACACACACACACACACACGGTAATAGGTGAATACACAAACACACTGAATACGTCAGGGTGAGAAGAGAGGCAGAGCGACAATGACATAGCGAGCAAAATGAATACGCGAAATATGACGACCATTGAATTACCTGATCACAAGCTGTAGTGGCAGGGCTGGAGAGATATTACTCGACCTTGTAAAACGCACCCCCGCACACACTCACACTCGCACGCCACCTTGCACACGCCTGACCCAAACGGCACGCACCATTGCACGCACATACTGACACGCGATGCTCATAATGAAGGTTGCAACGCTTGTTACTCTTGCACTCAGTCACCATAATAATGACAGGAAAATATTATTGCTGTGATACATGAAGCATTTGGAAACGATGACAATTTCGCTGATCCGCTATTCAGCATCTTCGGAGGCAAAGGGAAAGGGAATACAAATTAGAGGAGGTAACATTATATATACCGTGTTAGATGATGTGAAGTGTTATGAAGTCAAGGGAAATCTTGCAAATAATTCGATTCAATTGCTGAGTCAGTAGGTGTGATTTAAACTGGTAATTCTGTCTTTATCTCGAAGGTGACAGGACTCGTCTAAGGTGCTGGTTGTTTAGCGACCGGGCCGCGGGGACGCTAAACCCCGAAATCATCTCAAGATAACCTCAAGAAGATAAGATAGCAGGTGTCCCTTGAAGCATATTTGGTTAAATATGACCACACTGCTGGCGTTGTTGATCTTATAGCATAAGATTTCTGTGATTCTTTTTTCTTTCTCTCGGGATTAAGAAAATAAAACAAATGTCCTTAATTCATGGAAAAGAAACTCTGATGATTATTGAAGGTTATATTTTCTACAACGTTTCGTCCACTCTGAAACATCTTCATGTAAGGAATGAATATACAAGACAAGGTGCAAATTTATCTTAAATGCATATGTGAAGAAAGTGAAGTTGTGTGTGGGGAAGGGGTAAGGTGAAACTTTTTATCACACATAGGTAAAGAAATAAGGGAATACTGGGGATGGAAGCCTATCAAACACTGGTTAAGGCGGTGGGTGAAGAGAACTCGGTAGAGATGTCATTATCCGGTGCTGTTTGGTGAGGTCTGGATCTGAGCGTAGGCAAGGTATGAAAGTCGTTACTCGACTTGCGTAGGCCAGGTATATATTTAGCCTGGGTCTTTGTTCTTTTATGAGTATAGCTTCGAGTATTTACAGTCTTCTCTGGTCAGTGGTGGATGCCTGGACTGTTGTATTATCTACTAGCATGTTCCTAGTGAGTGTTGTGTTATGTACGCTTTGGATATTGTTTCTAGGGGCACCAGCTTGTAGATGGCAGTTCGGTCTTCTAGAAAGCTTTGTGGTGGCCATACCACACTATGCACCAGATAACGATATCTCTACCTAGTTCTCCTCGCCTATTGCCTTACCCAGTGTTTGATTGGACTCTATCCCCAATATTTACCAATTTCTTCACCTATGTGTGAGTACTTCACCTTAACTCTCTCCCCCCCCCCCAAGCCCTACAACTTCATCACTTTCACATTTGCAATTAAGATAAATATGCACCTTGTATATACATTCCTTACCTGAAGATGTTTCAGAGTGGAACGAAACGTTGTAGAAAATATCCCCTTCAATAATCATTGGAGTTTCTTTTCCATGAATTTCGATAACCTGATTGCTCTTCTTAATCCCGAGAGCAAGTAGAAGCATAGAAAGCTTATACCATAAGATCAACACCGTCGACAATGCGGGTATATTAGCGAAATATTCATAAAGGAACACCTCCTGGCCAAGTACACAAACATTACGAACATGTATGGCTGTATGCATATAAAAACAAAACATTGATTTTCCAGGACACGGTTGGAGTTAGCGCGGCACCGTTTACGCGAATATGACCACCGAGAAGCAGCGGGACACGACAGGACACTCACCATCGTCGAAGTCTGGGGGGATACTGCCGAAAAATTCTCCTGCCACACCCTTTTTATGCTGAAGGTCTTTGGTCCAGGGCCGCCTGGCTAACGCCTCCAGTTACCGACACCCTCCAGTCACGGCGAAACGCTCCAAGGCGCTTGCTAGCGATATGACGTGTTAATACCAGCTGCGAGGGCGTAGGAGGGGTGAGTGTGTGTGAGGGACAGGGGTGTGGTAGGTGTGAGAGTGAGAGGTGTGGTAGGTGTGAAGGAGAGGGAGAGAGAGAGATTTGCGGTATGTACGAAGTGAGACTTACAGCAGCATGAGGAAGATACGGCTGAATGAGAAAACAATGTGAAACAATATATCCTTCCCTCCCTCACTTGCTGTGAGGGAGGAACGAGATATAATGGAATTTTAACTCAGTAATATTTAGTCGTAATCCATTAGTAATGAGAGGTGAGGCTAATTGAGATACCGGTCAGTTGAAGCACAAGGGAGATAGTGAAAATAAGATTAGACATATAGAGCTGGAGCAGATGAACATTGGTAAACGGCAGATTGAAGGGAGAATTAAGGCATACGAGTGGGACAGTAGCCAAGGAAACCTTGAACATTCCACTGTCAAGGAGGGTTATTACAGCTCAGAGGCTGCCAGCCTTGACGGACACACATGAAGGCCACTGTTGTCATTTTCAGGTGTCTCAGGAATGAGTTTCTCAAGATGTTTGACTTCATAATGGTCGACTAGAGAAAACGTGCTGAAGGTCTAATCCAAAACGCTTTTTCAATATAAAATGAATTATAATTTACCCGGTATATCTAGTGGTCGTAGATGTTATATCATGATGTTGGTTATGTGAACACGAGTTGCAATATGGCAATGTGAACACCATTATAACGTCAAATCAATATGTTCGCCTAACCAGGATAAACGCCTAATCAAGATTTGACGAGGAATATCTCCCTGGGTTTAGAATCGATTATATAATGAACAGTGCAACTGGTTGTGTGGCGTTGAACCGTTTAAGTCCCAAATATATAGAACGAATAAATTCCATGAGACATAATGATTAGGAATATGGTAATTATATAAATACCATCATCACTGCTACTAATAAAAATGTAATTCTTTTAATAATAAAATTAATAATTTTGTCTCAAATACTTCTGACACCAATACTGCTTCTGTCACTCCGAGAACTGCTTTTACTATTCTTACTTCTCACCAAAAGTAATATTAATACAACTAAAATAAAACAAATAGCGAGACTGGTCGTTATTGTAAATGAATATTTCCGCTTATTTTAAGCAATTACTTTAAACTCACACAATTAATATTCACCATAAGTTTCTCAGGTCGAATAATAATGCTTCGGTTTAGATTAAAATCAGATTAAAGACCTTCAGAAGAGGAATGTTCAAGAAAAAATTGATTGAGAATATTTGCAATCATTATATATATATATATATATATATATATATATATATATATATATATATATATATATATATATATATATATATATATATATATATATATATATATTGGCAAGAGATTCAAGTATAAATTAATAGACGGGTTATTCAAATGTATTTATTTTATACAGAGGACTAAACCACTCCTGTATCATGTCAGAGTTAAGATCAGAGAGAGGACTGAACCACTGATGTGTCATGCCAAAGTCCTAGAGAAAACAAAGCCATTGACAACAAAATCAAATTATCAAACAAATAATGAAGAGTTATTCTTTGGGGCACACGTGAGGAACACAAATGCGAACAAGCTTGAATGGTCCCCAGGTCTATATGCAACTGAAAACTCACACCCCAGAAGTGACTCGAACCCATACTGCCAGGAGCAATCTGCTGGCTTACAGTTTTCAGTTCCATATAGTCCTGGGGACCATTCAGGCTTGTTCGCATTTGTGTTCCTCACGTCTGCCCCAAAGAATGAGGTGATTTGATAAAATACCATGCCCAAGATTACCAACCGAGTGCCGGCGGGGGGATGGAAATAGCCTCGGCTACCATCCTCTTTTGTCCGGTCGTGTTGGTCGAGCAGTTAAGGGATCCTGTACGCCAGCAGAGTGCTTCTGGCAGTATGGGTTCGAGTCACTTCTGGGGTGTGAGTTTTCAGTCTATATATACATATATATATATATATATATGTCGTACCTAATAGCCAGAACGCACTTCTCAGCCTACTATTCAAGGCCCGATTTGCCTAATAAGCCAAGTTTCCATGAATTAATGTTTTTTCGTCTACCTAACCTACCTAACCTAACCTAACCTAGCTTTTTTTGGCTACCTAACCTAACCTTACCTATAAATATATCTTAGGTTAGGTTAGGTAGGGTTGGTTAGGTTCGGTCATATATCTACGTTAATTTTAACTCCAATAAAAAAAATTGACCTCATACATAGAGAAAAGGGTTGCTTTATCATTTCATAAGAAAAAAATTATAGTAAATATATTAATTCAGGAAAACTTGGCTTATTAGGCAAATCGGGCCTTGAATAGTAGGCTGAGAAGTGAGTTCTGGCTACTAGGTACGACATATATATATATATATATATATATATATATATATATGTCGTACCTAGTAGCCAGAACGCTATTCTCAGCCTACTATGCAAGGCCCGATTTGCCTAATAAGCCAAGTTTTCCTGAATTAATATATTTTCTCTATTTTTTTCTTATGAAATGATAAAGCTAACCATTTCATTATGTATGAGGTCAATTTTTTTTTATTAGAGTTAAAATTAACGTAGATATATGACCGAACCTAACCAACCCCACCTAACCTAACCTAACCTATCTTTATAGGTTAGGTTGGGTTAGGAAGCGGAAAAAGTTAGGTTAGGTTAGGTTAGGTAGGCTAGGTAGTCGAAAAAACATTAATTCATGAAAACTTGGCTTATTAGGCAAATCAGGCCTTGCATAGTAGGCCAAGAAGTGAGTTCTGGCTATTAGGTACGACATATATATATATATATATATATATATATATATATATATATATATATATATATATATATATATATATATATATATATATATATATATTAATTAATTAAATTCTGATAAGGCAAAATTGCGCCCAGTAAAAATTATTAGTTATAAACGCCGAAATGTTACAGAGAGAACTAAATAGACTTTCAGAAATGTCTGAAAATTGGCAGATGCACTTCAGTACTAAAAAATTAACTGATTAAAGAGGTCAGTCCAAAGCAAAAGAAACAGAGACTGAAGATAGAGCAGACTGAAAGTGAAATTGCGAGATTAGATGGTGAGACGGAACGCTGAGTTACGAACAGTAGTGGTCTTATAGAAAAGATCTCTAATATTATATACATAGCCAGCTATAATATTACATATAAGGCTAATTAGATCATAGGATAAATAATCTAGATGCAAAAGCATCGAAAGCTCAACGTTATCCTTTAAATGAATCTTGCTCTTGGGGAGATCGTACTTGGATCACGTAATGCGGTTTTGTTCACTATACCATGGATTGGATGTATATTTTCTTGATAGTATACAGCGATGGATTTCTTAGTTACTGCCATTAATTAGGAACCTCACGATGAAAGACTAAATCCCTGCTAGTATTAGTATTAGTTAGTATTAATTAATAAGTTAGTATTAATTAAAGTATTAATTAGTATTAGTATTAAATCTAGTATTTAATAGCTCCCAGTAGTCGTGGCTTCCTGGGGTGCTCCACTGATTACTCTCATTCATTTTGATCAATTATTTCTCACTACTTCACCATGTCATTAGCTGAATAAATATTTGCTCACTCTAACACATGTTAAGTTACTCTTGTGCTGATCTGAATCATTTAACTGTTTTCGAAAATGTAATCTAACACTCATGCTCTTGTTTTAAAAATGACCGTCATTTTATCGTGAAAGTCAAACATATTTTCCACTAAACATGCCAATTTTATTATGATTTATACTTGTCTCCAGTTTACGTTTTGTGGGATTTTACTGAGTAAACCTATCAACGATGCAGATTTGTATATTAGTGCAACATGTGAATCCCTATTCTTATATTTCAGCAAGACTTTAGCTGTTTTTCATCTGTCTTGTAGGTCTCTCCAATAAGGCGAAGTATAGTAGATTCTTGTTCCTTAAAAGTCAACTGGGAAACTTTTTCTGATCCTACATGAACTTAAAATACTTAAGTTGTCTTTTTACTTGATATGCTTTGCCTTCCATGTTCCTGAGTCCCTGACGCCAGGGAGCATTATCCCCTGCGCCTGAGGGATGTCCATGATCATACTCTCCCAGGAAGCATATGGTTTAGTACCATGCATATCTCCTTGTAATTTTCCGTTTGACGCCCTCCTCTCCGGTTTCGTCTGACTTCTTGATTGTTCTTTACCGCCTCTTCCTGGTGTACCTTAGTCATAGATTTGGTTCTAATGTCCTGGATGATCTATAATTCTCGTATATTGCTTCCCTGTTTCTGTTTCTTTCGACAATCATTAATTAAATCCAGTGACTGTTTTCTCTATCATTTTTACATTTAATGCTGAGTATCAAATTATCTTCCACAAGTCTCAAGTTGTTGAAGCCAATTCTAGTCCGTTCCACTCCTTTACGACTTACAGACCAAAAAGGCTGAGACTGACAGAAACAATGCAATCTAGGATTCCACTATTTTTTCCATGTCGTTGTGAAATAGTCTATGGTGAGTTCTTGTGAGTACCAAGGATTCGAATCCTCTTTATGACTCTGATTGATTTTCACATTGGTAGATTAAGCTAATGTGATTTCTTTTTTGCGAATAAAAATAATAATAATACAATAATAATAATAATAATATTAATAATAATAATAATAGCACAGAAAAAGGAAATCATAATATGATGACCTCATCTATGCTTAAATCACTGTAGCAATGCGGGGTTGGAACCAGTGACTTGGTAACCACCAGTCGCGCACCAAACCCCTGGCCCACGACATGCTAACCGAACATCAACATGCTACCGGGATGAGTCCACCAGGAAGTCTGGAGACACTGAGCTAGTACCCAACCAGGTTTTACAAAATGCAATCACACCAGCAAGCATTCTGGTGTGGGTAATGGAATTCTCCATTATACGCTCCCTTAAAATATACACATGTTCACCACAACTTCCTAGTGGACTAAAGATTCATATTCTTTATAATAATTCAAGATATCATTTGCGTCAAGTGGAAAAGAGGATTGACATGAAGAGTAAAGATGCAAAATATCGAGTCGATCAGTCCATAATAGAGCTTGGTGGTGCATTGCAAAAGAGCAGTTGACGAGCTCTATACCACCAGTTAACAGAGCCGACGACTCTGTAGCTACAAGTGCAAGAAGTTGGCTGACCTCCTTGGTTCTCACTTCCCGAGAAAGATGTAAGTTGCTGAATCGGATCGGTCGCTTCCTGTTCTACCTTCCACGACCAATTTCCTAATCTTCCTGTAACATCACAAACAAGAACGTATAAAATCTTCTACTTGAAACGAATGTTTGTAAGACCCTACAGCAGAACTGTGCAAGTCCCTGCTTCTGAAAAGCATTCTGCATTCTGAATTCACTTCACCTGGCAGTCCCCTCTTGCAGCCATCATTCAAGCCTACATTGACTAGAAAACATGGCCACTAATCTGCAAGAAGACCAGCGTTGTGGCTCTACACAAAAAGAAGAACACAATATCGGTAAGCTATAGGCGAATATCCACGCACTCTTTTGTTGAAAATATCTATAAGAAAATCCTTGTTCAGACACCAGAAAAGCATTTTGATAAACACTACTACTTATGCAGACGATGAGTAACGTGGCTGAAGGCATGATGACCAAACCACACACCATAAGATGTAGAGACGACGCCGTTATGGTCCGTCCTGGACCATTATCAAGGCTTGATAATGGGTAATCGACTTGATAATGGTCGAGGGCGGACCGAAACGTGGTCCTCTCTTCATCTTCTTTTGTGTTGCTTGCTCATCAAAGACAACTTACTAATTTACAGGCAATTTGGTTTTTGATATAAAAGCAGCTCATCAAGTCTGATACTACAGTTAACTGCAAAATGGAACAAGAAAGTCTCGGCTGTGAAGAAGATAAATGTGTCATAGCCAAACATTGCCGAGGCGTTACATAGCGTCTTGTATACAGGACTGGTGAGAAAACTTAAGAAACTTGCGGTTGATGGGACTCTTTTTTTTTCTCCTTATTGAAAACTTTGCTACAACAAGCGAACCTTCCAGGTTTGCCTTAACAATAAGTGCTCCTGCGAATTTAGTGTCGTGACCAGTAAATATGCCTTGTATGAGCCAAGAGGCCTTGTGAAGTATTCTCATGTTCTTTTGCGACATGTTCATATATATGCAGATAAAATTGAGACTTTCACTGATACAGGCAAAATGTAGAAATACATAAATACAGGTTTTATAAGGAAATACATTAATAGAGGGGCAATATGAAAATTCATAAATACAGCTGCAATAATAAAATACATAACTACTGGCAAAATATTGCAATACATATATACAGGTACAATATGGGCATACAGGCAAGTACAATAAGGAAATATTTGAGATACTCAGAGCATCTCTCGTCCAGGCAGTCAGGAGATACTATAAGTGTTCGCTGGATCACTCTCATGAATAAACGTAGCACCAACAGTACCAATTTACACTGTCATCATTTCTAGTTTCCAGTCCTTGGCTGTATTTTTCTTGCCATTACAGCCATCTCAGTCAGCTTCCTGAATCACATAATGGCCCTAAATCGCTGTTGAAGGTTTTATACATACATAGTTATTACTACTCTCACTATTGCTGTTAAATATTATGATAAATATCGTTAGGAGGCATTCACATATGGGACTAATAGAACAAGAACCCGGCAATGTGATGTTATAGTGGCCAGAATACGCCTGGGATATAGACGTATCTGGCAGCTTTCTCAAAACCCGAATGTCGAGTACACAATGTGTCAACTTTGTGAAAGAGAAAACTTGAACATTATATCTCTCTCTTGCATTATATTGCAAGAGAGAGCATTATATTGCACTCTCTAAACATTATATTGTAGAATGTCCCATACTGACTGACTTTCGCCCTCCTGGGCTGAAGTACGCTGAACTCTGTAACTACTATATGAATACTGGAATATTTGATGATATATTGGACTTGTACCTAAGATGGACCACGTAATGTATCAATTACACGATGTATGTATATGATGAAACTATATAACCTGAGCTTGTAAAAGCATCTTAATTACCTTCAGTGATTAAGTGCTTAATAACACACTAATTTCTCTATCAGCTATCTTATCCTCTCAGAGTAGGAGAGCCATAAATATACGTGTATGTATGTATGTGTGTGTGTGTGTGTATGTATATATGTATATGTATATGTATATGTATGTGTATATGTGTGTGTATGTATGTGTATAAAGTATATGTGGAAGATGATCAGAATTACATTTCACCTTTGTAAATGCACATTAATGACACCATGTAAAAGACACATCGACCACTTTATGTAGGGCAGACGTAACTCTGTGTATCTATGTATTTATATCTGCAGGTTAGATTAGCATTTTAAAAGTACTACAATCACCTTCTGTGGTTGATTGTTCAATAAATCCCAGAACTATATGTTTAACAGATCTCTCACCCTGTCCATGGAGGACAGAATACATATGTGTTGGTTAGCATTGTAAATGTATGGCCACGTCTGTGGTAGAAAAATAGTAATAATAAAAAAAGCTATTGCTGTTTTCATTATTATTATTTACTTATGATTGTTAATATTTTATTAGATTTTTAATACATTTTGTTATTGTCAAAATTAATACACTCCCTTTTGTTTATAAATGTTTATAGTTAAATGAAATAGACAATTAATACAATTATTTGTCTTGAAGACAACACCAAAATCAACATAAAATTTCATGATAAATGAAATACATATAAATAAGATCCTCTAATTTCCAACTGAAGTCAACATCAGTCTTCAACAGCTACGAAGTCCAACATCTTCGTGACGGAGGAGAAAAAACGAAGACCTTAAGCTGAATTGAGAGTAAAATGTCTGGAATATTGTTCTGTATTCACATCCTCCTTAAAGGCAATTTAAATATTCATGAGAGGAACTTCAGCAAAAGCCTTCACGAACCTCAGAGAAAACCATTTAAGCCTCACATTGCTGTATATACTACTCATAGTAACTATTTGCCCAAAACGCTATGCATACTAGTGGCTTTAGTTATTGTATGTACTATCTCTATCTATAAATCTAACAATATGTATGTAAGTCAATGTATGTGCCTTTACCTGAATAAAAAATCTGATCTAATCAGATCAATTTGGTTGGAAGTACCAATATGGAGTGAAGGACCCCCAAAATGTTCACATTTCGGAGTGAACATACATACACATCTGCTGTGTGTGTCTGTGTATTATGGCACCTGGTTTGAATACATGTCTGTTGCAGGCACCGTGTGTATATATTTGTGTTGATGGTACCAGGTGAGTATGTATGTGTGTTTTCCGTACCTAAAATGTTCATTCGGAGTGTTGTATGATGAGGGTACCTGGGACCTTCCCTCTCAGTAGCACGAGTGAGTATACTTGTAGTACCAAGAGAGTTAATAGAGGTTGATGACGAGTGTATGTGTGAGTTGTGGTCCTTGGAAAGCTTCCCAGTAGTACGCTGGAAGTGTGTGTGTTGAATACATCTAGAATGTGTATATTGGCTGCAATTGCGTTGTGGATGTTTGTGACACATGCAATGGGACTCGTGCGTAGCGAAGTAAACAGTGATCACGATGTGTTAAGACTCTCCACTTCAAGAGGCGCGGTCTGCAGTGAATATTGGGACTCGTAACTCTACCTTTGAACAATGACAGGAAGCGATACACTATAAACCCTGAAGACCTCACCTTCAAGGCTAATGGCGTAAAATAATAATAATAATAATAATAATAAAATTAGATTTACTTTGTTTATATATGAATTTCACACAACTAAAAATATTTTTATACTTTTTGTTAGTTTCAAGATCTTTTCAGGTCACCCCAGTTTAATAATGATTAGTGTTAGAAAACACTTTTCTTCCTTATGAATGTAAAATGTTTAACAGCAATAAGCGGGGAACAGAGTATAGTCTCAATGCAACAAGTCATGGAGAAGTAAACAATTTTTCCAAGTGCTCACTGTTCCAGATGTTGCAATGAAACTCTTACTCAACGTTTGCTGTAGTCAACCTCGCATGTCGCTCACGTTATTCTCCAGGCTCGCTGATGCCGTTCCAAGAGAGTAAATATAGAGATGTGCGATGATGACCGCTCGCACATATGTGACTGACGAACCAAAATACAAGTCCAATTAGTCCATAGCAAGGAATTGTTGAGGAAGCCGCTAGAGGGGAACGCTGAGGCCTTAGTAAAAGACACGACGTTGGCTTCATTGGCTCTAATGAACGCTAGAGCTTGCGTTCATTAGATTTCTATCTTCGTTATGTAGTACTAGGCATCCATCAGTCTCAGGAGACTATGGGGCTGCGCTCTGGTTGTCAGTCTGTAGTGGCCTCTTCAGTTGTAAGACGATTGTATGCATGAGTATCTAATAACGATGCGATAACGTCAAACAAATACCTGAGAGTTAAAACCATGGTTAATACCAACAGATTCGTTCATTCAACAAATTCTGAAAAGGAACTTTTTACTGGAAAATTATTAACATAAAATTTATTCTAGAAGAAAAATTAAAAAAAAAAAAATTAGCAGAATTTTGTATATTTGCGAATTCGTTTTATTGTGAGCCAGAGGTAACAAAATATAATTTAAATACATACACACAAAATACAAATCCAAAACTTTGTATACCACATATGTCAGACCAACCCTGGAGTATGCAGCTCCAGCATGGAGTCTATATCAAGTCATGCATAAGCCTAAACTGGAGAAGGTTCAAAAGTTTACCACTAGACTAGTACCAAACTAAGAGGTATGACGTACGAGGAGAGACTACGTGAAATAAACCTCACGTCAAGGTTTATTTGACGATAGAGAAGATCGTGCGAAGAAAGCTAGTGGAACATCTGGAGCGAAGGAACTTTGTAACACAGCATCAACATGGGTTCAGGGATGGCAGGTCCTGCCTTACAGGGTTACTTGAATTCTACGACCAGGCAACAAAAATAAGGCAAGAAAGAGAAGGGTGGGCAGACTGCATATTTTTGGATTGTCAGAAAGCCTTTGATACAGTGCCACACAAGAGGCTAGTGCGAAAGTTGTAGATGCAGGCTGGAGTGAACGGGAAGGTACTCCGGTGGATAGAGGAGTACCTAAGCAACAGGAGACAACGAGTCTGTGTGAGGGGGTAAGGTCTCAGATTGGCGAGACGTCACAAGTGGAGTCCCGCAGGGGTCAGTCCTTGGACCTATACTGTTCCTGGTATATGTAAATGATCTCCCAGAGGGTATAGATTCGTTCCTCTCAAAGTTTGCCGACGATGCAAAAATTATGAGGAGGATTGAAACAGAGGATGATAGTAGGAGGCTACAAGATGACCTGGATAGACTGAGGTAATGGTCCAACAAATGGCTGTTGAAGTTCAACCCGAGTAAATGCAAAGTAATGAAACTAGGCAGTGAAAACAGGAGGCCAGACACAGGATACAGAATAGGAGATGAAGTACTTAATGAAACAGACAGAGAGAAAAAACTAGGAGTTGATATCACACCAAACCTGTCTCCTGAAGCCCACATAAAAGAATAACGTCTGCGGCATATGCGAGGCTGGCTAACATCAGAACAGCGTTCAGGAACCTGTGCACAACCCGTTCTCGCACTTGCTTATAGTCAATATTTGGCATATGAATAAATACATATGTGACATACTAATCTATTGTGAATAATTGAGTTTACCTTGAAATGCTAAATAGGGGGTGAGCGGTAGTGCGTTGTCTTTCCGTAGTTGTGGCAGGCTGTATTGAAGTTATGTGTTTTATGGTGCTGCGGCCAAATTATAAATGGCAAAAACTTTGTTAATTATCAGAACATCAATGAACAATGTTATATCTTTTTTAAAAAAATAGTTAAATTTTATTTATTTTTTGTTTTTAAAATATTTAGACATGCGTAGCCAGAGACTAGTGCCAAACATCGTCTTGAGGGTCAGTATGTCACCATTGCGCGCTGTTCTCTTTCGAATTCCGACGACACCGACCAGTCTATGTCCTTTACCCTAGACAATTTGCCCCTGCAGATTTGTGTGAGACAAGCCTAAATCATCTGGCCTCCAACCAGGTGATGTGACCGACTCCATTTAAAAAGGACCAAAAGGAACGACCACGACCAGCCTGTGTCCTTCCCATACCCAGACCATTCACCCTGCAACGTTTGTTGAGGCCATCCTCTAGCTTCTTGTCTCAAATGGTAAAAATAAATAGCAAATGTTTTTCCAATGGAGTTTACTCCCTCCGCTGCACATTTTCATGATTTACTCGAGAACAGTGAACTGAATTTCTTCAGGTTACAGAGATCAAGCAATCCTGTCCTGTCGAATAATACATTTCATTTTGATGTATAGATGCAGAAACGGTAAAAAAAATAATGGTCTATAAATCATAATAGCTCAAAAAAATTACGGACTCTCCCATTTCCTATTCATACGTTCTGGTTAGCTTCCGTTCAGATAAATTAGTATATAATATTTTTCACGTCGTGACAAGTCCAGAGGACGGACTGCAACTTTGCCGGTTGTAACGTGAGTTTATCTGGCTATGATAGAAGTTTTGGAGATAGAGAACTGGATGGAGAGAGAATATGAGGGAAAGAGAATGGGAGGATCCGATTGCGTGATGGAGAGTAACAAAGAGATATAATTTTTATCATTGTGCTTGACATGTTGAGGTCCACCAGCCCACCACTGGCTGCATCAGAAGGATTCCATTGTCCTTCATATACTGAATGCTACAGGACCAACACTTGATGATAGACAAGATTGTCATTCGTCTTAATATATTCACTATCACCGGCTGCTACACAGGAATACCATTTTGCCCTAAAGGTTTAGCAAAAAACTAAAGACATTCAAAAATATAAAGTATTTATTTAAACATTCGAAGCGACGTTGACAGAAGCATAACACTAACAAGGAAACGGAAGTGGGTATTAAGTATTGTGGGCCGTTTTCTGGTTGAGACCGCGATTACTGTCTCTGTCTCACTTTCCCACAGGAGGAAGGTAGCCAGTGCTAGGAGATCCACCGAAGGAGCCACCACCGCCTCCGAAGTGACCACCACTTGAGCTTCCTGATGATCCACCGGAATAGCCACCTCCAGCGCCTCCAGAGAAGCCACTAGACGATCCACTTCCAGAATATCCGCCTCCTGAACCTTCCGAGAAGCCACCTCCTGAGCCCCCAGAGAAGCCACCTCCTTTACCTCCAGAGAAGCCACCAGACGAACCACCTCCGGAATATCCGCTTCCTGAACCTCCAGAGAATCCACCTGAGCCCCCTATGAAGCCACCTCCTTTACCTCCAGAGGAGCCACCAGACGAACCACCTCCGGAATATCCGCCTCCTGAACCTCCAGAGAAGCCACCTCCTGAGCCCCCTATGAAGCCACCTCCTTTACCTCCGGAGAAGCCTCCTGATGAACCACCTCCGGAATATCCGCCTCCTGAACCTCCAGAGAAGCCACCTCCTGAGCCCCCTATGAAGCCACCTCCTTTACCTCCGGAGAAGCCTCCTGATGAACCACCTCCAGAATATCCGCCTCCTGAACCTCCAGAGAAGCCACCTCCTGAGCCCCCTATGAAGCCACCTCCTTTACCTCCGGAGAAGCCTCCTGATGAACCACCTCCGGAATATCCGCCTCCTGAACCTCCAGAGAAGCCACCTGAGCCCCCTATGAAGCCACCTCCTTTACCTCCGGAGAAGCCTCCTGATGAACCACCTCCAGAATATCCGCCTCCTGAACCTCCAGAGAAGCCACCTGAGCCCCCTATGAAGCCACCTCCTTTACCTCCGGAGAAGCCTCCTGATGAACCACCTCCAGAATATCCGCCTCTTGAACCTCCAGAGAAGCCACCGGAGCCCCCAGAGAAGCTACCTCCTTTACCTCCAGAGAATCCACCTGAGCCCCCTATGAAGCCACCTCCTTTACCTCCAAAGGAGCCACCAGACGAACCACCTCCGGAATATCCGCCTCCTGAACCTCCAGACAAGCCACCTGAGCCCCCTATGAAGCCACCTCCTTTACCTCCGGAGAAGCCACCAGATGCACCACCTCCGGAATATCCGCCTCCTGAACCTCCAGAGAAGCCACCTGAGCCCCCTATGAAGCCACCTCCTTTACCTCCGGAGAAGCCACCAGATGCACCACCTCCGGAATAACCGCCTCCAGAACCACCAGAAAAGCCACCTCCTGAACCTCCGGAGATGAATCCACCGGAGTGTCTTCCTCCTGAGCCTCCAGAGATGAATCCTCCGGATGTGCCACCTCCTCCGCTGTAACCGCCTGACCCTCCTGAAGAACCTCCGTGTCCTCCTCCTCCGCCAATCCCGCCTCCACCTCCAAGTCTTCCTCCATAACCGGCAGAGGCCAGTCCCAGGACAAGCACCAGCACCAGAATTCGTGACGGTCTCTGGAAAAGAAATTTATAGTCATTATTTACCATTCTTTCATAATTCAAATCACCTGCCACACCCTGCATCTTACAGTACATTCTCCACGATACATTCCTGCAAACTTTGCTCCTAATAGTACTTGAGTTATCTCTAATTAATGAGATCGATTTTGTAAGCTCTGCGTTCTTTAAAACCAAATTAGTACTGCAGGTATATGTAATATTATCAATCATTAGGAAAGTTTTATTAACAAATTAAAATATTTCGAGGGAATGTACCTTCATGATTTTGTTTATTTTATTTAAACAAAATCAATCATATTTATTAAACAATCTGTTTTTTAACTATAATTAAATAACAATAAACGTGACCCAGTTAACGAACAGAAAAGTCAGTAGAAATCTCGAAAATATTTCAGCCATTTGTGTGAAAGTATAAAACAAATATATCAAAGTTCTTTTGAATAAACTGTTTCCTTTAACTTTACTTTAAACTGTTTTTGAACAGTTTGTTTTTATTTCAGTTTTGAAGGAGGTAATTTTGTCTCGAAATGTGAACGAAATCGGATCTTTGGAATAATAACAGGAGTTAGTACATGTTTACTTATTGATATTTGGTGTCATTTACAGCAATTTGTTAACTGTTAATAATTGTGATAAAATCGAAAGACAGAATAAAATCTCACCAAGTGCATCAAATGTGTTGATGGTGCCAGGACAAGATGAGTCTTTGATTACCCTCCAGCTTATGGCACTAATGTTGTTATAGGGGGACTACAGGTATGTAATGTAACAGAGTAATGGCTTAAAAGTTACTTGACAACACTACGAAGGAAAGGTGAGGTAACTATGAGAATACTACGCTAGGATAATATGATACTATAGTTACAATCATAGAAGAAGCTAATGATAGACGTCTCACCATGCTTGCAGTAGCTGTTGGACTGTGCCTGAGACCGTCTTGCGCCGCCTTATATATCCACCAAGTGTATCTTCCAGGGCCGGGCGAATTATAAAGCACCGACCCATGAACGTACTTATCACCATTACCTGATACGGACTTCATTCCTTGACTGTTGAAACAGATATTGATTCCTATGACTTGCTGTATGTTATGTAACGAAAGGAGTCTGACTCCATCCAGTGATGAAGAAGACAGAGGATGTACAAGGTTACTGATTCAGCTTTTTCACGGTTGGAGTTTTACCCCCAGAACAGAGCCGCCTTAGCTTGCAACATAAAGGTGGGCATGCTCAGTGTAAATACTTTCAGAATTTACTTTAAGCCATTAATTAACGCTGGAAATGTTTGTCTCCAGGATGCGTCTTTTTATTGATCTTCGCAGCCGAAATGCAGTGAATCATACCAAGATAGATTCTCGGGCGTGATTACCTTGCATATATGTCGGTGTTTTAGGCTGAAGGCCGAATAAACCGAATTCCCATATTAATAATTTGATCGATCTTATTTTACTTATATTTTGAGAGATATATTCCATTCTGTATTTATGTTCTGCATTTACATATTTTGAGGCAAAACGAGCGATGCAATCTAATGTAACATGTCTGGGACGTTTATTCCTTAACACAGCTTATGTAAATTTCGACCGATATTAAATAATAATTCAGGATATCATTCAAAGATGGTTCCGAAAAATCGTGACAATACATACCTTACGACGTTTTAGCCAACAAAACCGAAAAGTCTGCCTTATATATTATATATAAAGAAATATAAATATATAAGTAAACATATAAATATATGTATACTCCACAATATCCTTCATATTTGAGTTCAAAAAGCAACTTTTATAGAAACATTTAAGTCAGTTTCGACTTATAGCTTTAAATACGAGCAATAGTTTCATTTCTTTACAAATAATATAGTTTTCCTCAACATACGGTGCAGTAATATATCATATAATTGACCACTGTTTCATCTTCACTGTATATACCGATGATGAGTTTCTTAAATACTTTTATATGTGTTCTGAGTAATTACCTTCTTAACACACCAAAGTCTCGGGCATTTTTATGCTATATACTATTTTGTTTTTAAGGACATATAAATACAGCAATTAGTTGTCAAATCCAATTATCTTGAGAACATATGAACATTCGAATTGTTTAGAAGAAACAACAGGGAATAAAGCAAACGGGAAGCTAGCAGACTACTGACCAATATATGACGTTTTAATGTAAGTTAAGGCCAAGGAACTCAAAAAGAAAACTTGGGGAAGCATAAAAAATCTCACAACGTAAGAGGAACAAAATATACTGTGAAAAAAGTTTTGCTAAAACGATCAAATTACTTTAATTTATCACATAATATGACCACACGCATCAAAAGTTCAATCAGGCCATATTTTTCAAAAGTCGGCCCTGGCCATATAATAAGGTCACTTGCATCAAAAGTGGCCTTATTGTTCTTCACACTCTGTTCTGGACGAAAATAAGGCCATATGCATCAAAAGTTCATTCTGGCCAGATAATAAGGCCAGAAAAAATATGGCCTAAGGCCAGTCCTGGTCTAAAGTCACGTTCTTCAAAAGAATGCCTAATGAATAGGATAAAGAATTTTTTTTATTAAGACTGAAGAACAAACATGAATAATTTGCCACATATCATGTGTGACAAATTTGAGTCATTGTTCTCGTTTAATTGAAATATTTTTTGCCGTCAGAGTTATTTAGGATTTTTTTTTAAATTTAGCTTATTCATATATTTAAAGATATACTTAAAAATCAGGTATATGAAAATAAAAGTACAACCTAGAATCTCTAAAATATAAAATTAAACTCTTGAGAAATAAAATAAAATACTGACTAAATAAAATACGTCGGCAATGTGAAACGAGGAACCAAATGTGTAATAATTCCACTCCACAAACATAACAGGGACCTCGTAGTAATGGAGCGATACAATGAGTCAGGACTTCTGATTTGCAGAATCACCCTCCAACCATGAGATTAATAAGGAGAAAAATTCTAGGTGAAATCAGATTCGCCTTTTATGTGAGGGGGCGAGACGCCCTCCCTGTGGAGAGTTAATGGTGGGTGAGCGGTAATGGGTCGTCTTTGGGTAGTTGTAGCAGGCTGTATTGAAGTTATGTGTTTTATGGTGCTGCGGCCAAATTATAAATGGCAGAAACTTTATGTTAATCACCATAACATCAATAGACAATGTATATCTTCTTATAATATAGTTAAATTTCATTTTATTTTTGTTTTTCAAATATTTAGACAGGCTTAGCCAGCGCCAGGTGCCAAACATCGTCTTGAGGGTCAGTATGTCACCATTGCGCGCTGTTCTCTTTCGAATTCCGACGACACCGACCAGTCTATGTCCTTTACCCTAGACAATTTGCCCCTGCAGATTTGTGTGAGACAAGCCTAAATCATCTGGACCTAGATTCAGGAAGCTCTGTGTATTTCTTCGTAAGTTGGTTTGCTACGAAGGTTCCTAAGTGCGCCCTAAGAAGATGCTTAGGTGCGATTTAATAAGGTCCACTTAGGAAGAAATTTGTTGGTTCACCTGCGTGCCGATAGAGGTCACTACTGTGTTTCGTTTGGCCAATCAGAGAGCAGCAACATTCTTCATATTGAAGATTTAGCGCTGGTTTATCGGAGCTCTACTGCCTCCTATTTATGTCAAATTTTCTTATAAAATTAGTATATTTCGAAGTAAAACAATGTTTTTTCAACTTCTACAGCCAGCACCGACATTGTAGTAAACAAATATGTTACATTTGTTGTTTACCTACGTAATTCTAAGAGATACTGTGTAGCTGCCCTTGTTGCTCGGAAGATGCGCTGACAATTATTGTATATATTTACTGAATTTACCCAAGGGCCACTAACTATCTAGTGGCCTCGAAGAGGACAGAAAGCCGGCGGCTTGTTAAAGGGCCCGCCAATTGTCTTAATGATATTTTTAGCTGGAATTTGGCATTTACGGCTTCAGCGGGTAGGTGGTTCCATGGGTTTATAGCCCTCTTGGTGGTAAAAAACATCTGTGTTCAGTCCTACTTGAGAGAACATACTCTCCAACACTATATCTGTGATTGCCCTGTTATCAGTGACTTCATACCAAATGGTATGAGGTATTTTGAGCTGTGTAATTACTTCATACACTCAGGAATATTGGAAGATATTCTTGTGCTGCACCCAGATTTTGCCAGTGGAGGCTAATAGATCAGCATTAAGTATTTTGTTCTCTCCTAATTCCATGTATGACTGGCCATCCTGTGAGGTGAGGATGTTGGATGAGCTTGTAGCTGGTTTTTGATCTACACTGTGTGGTCCTTTATACAGAATAGGGAAGCAGCACATTGCTGTGTATACCTAAACATGTTTAAAAATACATTGTTTGAGAGGAGTCTTGTAGAAACTGGTAAGAGTAATTATAATAATTCCATGATTCAGTGCTTACCTCTTGTGTAAGTCGCGAAGAGTTGTTTAGTCAGAGTTGATTTGTTTTTTGTATTGAGGCTGGTATTTTCTAAATTGATTCCATGTACAGTACTGTATGTCTAACCATCCTGTGAGATGGGAGTATTAGATAAACTTATAGCTAGTTTTTTATCTACACTGTGTAATATTCCATATAGAATAGGGTAGCAGCACATTGCTGTGTATACCTAATCTTCTTAATAAAAAAAATCAGTAATTAAGATTTTAAATTATAGTTTGTATTATTACAAATACAGTACTGTATTATCCTTATTAAATCATGTTGACCATGGATCATTAAGATCTCATGTTGATATGTAATAGTCATATTTCTTTTGAACTGCTAATCCATGCTAATCATTCATTAAATTGTGCATTATGTCTCAATTTTTCACTTCCTTGGATATACTGTACAGTGCAAAAAGATAGGATAAAAATAAACCAGTAATATTTCTTTCATTATATTTTTCATTTAAATAACTGCATCAATATTTTTACAGCTGACAGGATTTGTTTTACCATACAGGTGCATTATTTGTTAAAAAAAAATGTTTTTTTGTTACACACAATGGTGCTACATAGCCTTCCCAGCTTGGTGCCTTGTTTTAATACTTACTGATTAAAAAATAAATAATAAATACATTTTATTCAGGAAAAGTACATACAGTTGATTTACAAACATAATGTTGGATTTATAGACAGAGCTAGTACATACAATACCTAAAGCCACTAATACTCATAGCATTTCGGGCAAGGTGTGGGGGGAAAAAAACACAGACTAAAACTTAATAGTAATCGGGATTAGGTATAAATTGTGTTGAAAGAAGAAATAAAAAATACAAAAAGGGGGGTTAACATAGCATAAATCAGCAATTGCACATGTTGGTGAACAGCATTGTTTAAAAAAAAGCAAGACATGGGTTGACATTTAGGAGGTAAGTTAGGTTACATGGAGTTAATTAGGCAGTACTTGGTTTAACTCTTAAACTGGTTGAGAGAGGTACAGCCTTTGACATGATTCGGGAGGTCATTCCACATTCTGGGTCCTTTGATTTGTAGAGCACTTCTAGTTTGGTTACACACAGCCAATTGTGTAACAGGAAGAGGTCTTGGACACAAATTTGTTCCATGCTAAATGTAGAGGAATCACCTGAGTATTCCTCAAATAAAATAAGTTGCCTCAGCTTATAAGGTAAATAAAATAAGCATTTCTCAAATAAGTAGCTGCCTCACCTCACTGCCTTACTGCTACATAGCCTTCCCTGCATGGTGCCTTCTTTTGATAATTACTTGTTCCACACCCAAATTGTATAACAGGAAGAGGTCTTGGACCCCTACTTCCCTCTCTCTTTTTTAATAGTCTATATAGTCATAATTATAGCTTTAAGTATTCAATGAATAAAGTTTTTGACATTTTTACCCTTCTCCTTACCTAACATCATTTGTGCAGCATATTTTTATTTTATGTCTCACCCAGATTTAATTTCAAAATAAAACCACACTAAATAAATTAGAAATGGGTATGTATAGCTAAGGTACACCCTTACTACTAGGTGAACAGGGTCATTTGGTGATAGTAAATGATCCCATCAGGCAGGGCTCATCACCTTCTCTCATATTTCATGTTCACCAGTGTTTATTTACTTAATAACTACAGGTATAATATCTTGCTATTATAAAACTAATTCACTATCATCAAACACATATTTACTTCAAGTTTCAAGCAGAGAATGCATATATAACTAACACGAAGGACTCCTCTTCACTAGATTCACCAGCTATAATATTTTGGTCATGTTCCAATATCATAAATCGATCCCAGTGTTATGTAGTAGAGAAAAAATTACTTATATCCAGTTTACGTAAAGCTACGAGTGGTCGAAACCACACTTAAATCCCGGAATGAACTTACGAAGGTTTTTCCACTTAGTGTAGCTACTTGAATACGGACGTAGCCGCCACGAAGGCGCTAAGATGGAAAACGTTCTTAGCTAGGAGGAAAAACCTTCGTAAGTACCATCCTGAATCCGGCCCCTGGCCTCCAACCAGGTGATGTGACCGACTCCATTTAAAAAGGACCAATAGGAACGACCACGACCAGCCTGTGTCCTTCCCGTACCCAGACCATTCACCCTGCAACGTTTGTTGAGGCCATCCTCAAGCTTCTGGTCTCAAATGGTAAAATTAAATAGCAAATGTGTTTCCAATGGAGTTTACTCCCTCCGCTGCACATTTTCATGATTTACTTGAGAACAATGAACTAAATTTCTTCAGGTTACAGAGATCAATCAATCCTGTCCTGTCGAATATTACATTACATTTTGATGTATAAATGCAGAAACCGGGAAAAAAATAATGGTTTATAACTCATAATACCTCAAAAAAATTACGGACTCTTCCATTTTCTATTCAAACATTCTGGTTAGCTTCTGTTCAGACAAATTAGTATATAATTTTTTTCACGTTGTGATAAGTCCAGAGGACGGACTGCAACTTTGCCGGTTGTAATGTGAGTTTTTCTGGCTTCGATAGAACTTTTAGAGATAGAGAACTGGATGGAGAGAGAATAGGAGGGAAAGAGAACGGGAGGATCCGATTGCGTGATGGAGAGTAACAAAGATATATAATTTTCATCATTGTGCTTGACATGTTGAGTCCCACCAGCCCACCACTGGCTGAATCAGAAGGATTCCATTGTCCTTCATATACTGAATGCTACAGGACCAACACTTGATGATAGACAAGATTGTCATTCGTCTTAATGTATTCACTATCACCGGCTGCTACACAGGAATACCAATTTGCCCCAAAGGTTTAGCAAAAAACTAAAGACATTCAAAAATATAAAGTATTTATTTAAACATTCGAAGCGACGTTGACAAAAGCATAACACTAACAAGGAAACGGAAGTGGGTATTAAGTATTGTGGGCCGTTTTCTGGTTGAGACCGCGATTACTGTCTCTGTCTCACTTTCCCACAGGAGGAAGGTAGCCAGTGCTAGGAGATCCACCGAAGGAGCCACCACCGCCTCCGAAGTGACCACCACTTGAGCTTTCAGATGATCCACCGGAATAGCCACCTCCAGCGCCTCCAGAGAAGCCACTTCCTTTACCTCCGGAGAAGCCACCAGACGAACCACCTCCGGAATATCCGCTTCCTGAACCTCCAGAGAAGCCACCTCCTGAGCCCCCTATGAAGCCACCTCCTTTACCTCCGGAGAAGCCACCAGACGAACCACCTCCGGAATATCCGCTTCCTGAACCTCCAGAGAATCCACCTGAGCCCCCTATGAAGCCACCTCCTTTACCTCCAGAGGAGCCACCAGACGAACCACCTCCGGAATATCCGCCTCCTGAACCTCCAGAGAAGCCACCTCCTGAGCCCCCTATGAAGCCACCTCCTTTACCTCCGGAGAAGCCTCCTGATGAACCACCTCCGAAATATCCGCCTCCTGAACCTCCAGAGAGGCCACCTGAGCCCCCTATGAAGCCACCTCCTTTACCTCCGGAGAAGCCTCCTGATGACCCACCTCCGGAATATCCGCCTCCTGAACTTCCAGAGAAGCCACCTCCTGAGCCACCTATGAAGCCACCTCCTTTACCTCCGGAGAAGCCACCTGATGAACCACCTCCAGAATATCCGCCTCCTGAACCTCCAGAGAAGCCACCTCCTGAGCCACCTATGAAGCCACCTCCTTTTTCTCCGGAGAAGCCTCCTGATGAACCACCTCCAGAATATCCGCCTCTTGAACCTCCAGAGAAGCCACCGGAGCCCCCAGAGAAGCTACCTCCTTTACCTCCGGAGAAGCCACCAGAAGCACCACCTCCGGAATATCCGCCTCCTAAACCTCCAGACAAGCCACCTGAGCCCCCTATGAAGCCACTTCCTTTACCTCCGGAGAAGCCACCAGCTGAACCACCTCCGGAATATCCGCCTCCTGAACCTCCAGAGATGCCACCTCCTGAGCCCCCAGAGAAGCCACTTCCTTTACCTCCGGAGAAGCCACCAGATGCACCACCTCCGGAATATCCGCCTCCTGAACCTCCAGAGAAGCCTCCTGAACCACCAAAGAAGCCACCTCCTTTACCTCCGGAAAAGCCACCGGATGCACCACCTCCGGAATATCCTCCTCCTGAACCAATAGAGAAGCCACCTCCTGAACCTCCGGAGATGAGTCCACCGCAGTGTCCTCCTCCTGAGCCTCCAGAGATGAATCCTCCGGGTGTGCCACCTCCTCCGCCGTAGCTGCCTGACCCTCCTGAAGAACCTCCGTGTCCTCCTCCTCCGCCAATCCCGCCTCCACCTCCAAGTCTTCCTCCATAACCGGCGGAGGCCAGTCCCAGGACAAGCACCAGCACCAGAATTCGTGACGGTCTCTGGAAAAGAAATTTATATTCATTATTTACCATTCTTTCATAATTCAAATCACCTGCCACACCCTTCATCTTACAGCACATTCTCCACGATACATTCCTGCAAACTTTGCTCCTAATAGTACTTGAGTTACCTCTAATTAATGAGATCGATTTAGTAAGCTCTGCGTTCTTTAAAACCAAATTAGTACTGCAGGTATGTGTAATATTATCAATCATTAGGAAAGTTTTATTAACAAATTAAGAATATTTCGAAGGAATGTACCTTCAGGATTTTGTTTATTTTATTTAAACAAAATCAATCATATTTATTAAACAATCTGTTTTTTAACTATAATTAAATAACAATAAACGTGACCCAGTTAACGAACAGAAAAGTCAGTAGAAATCTCGAAAATATTTCAGCCATCTGTGTGAAAGTATAAAACAAATATATCAAAGTTCTTTTGAATAAACTGTTTCCTTTAACTTTACTTAAACTGTTTTTGAACAGTTTGTTTTTATTTCAGTTTTGATGGAGGTAATTTTGTCTCGAAATGTGAACGAAATCGGATCTTTGGAATAATAACAGGAGTTAGTACATTTTTACTTATTGATATTTGGTGTCATTTACAGCAATTTGTTAACTGTTAATAATTGTGATAAAATCGAAAGACAGAATAAAATCCCACCAAGTGCATCAAATGTGTTGATGGTGCCAGGACAAGATGAGTCTTTGATTACCCTCCAGCTTATGGCACTAATGTTGTTATAAGGGGACTACAGGTATGTAATGTAACAGTAATGGCTTAAAAGTTACTTGACAACACTACGAAGGAAAGGTGAGGTAACTATGAGAATACTTCGCTAGGATAATATGATACTATAGTTACAATCATAGAAGAAGAAGCTAATGATAGACGTCTCACCATGCTTGCAGTAGCTGTTGGACTGTGCCTGAGACCGTCTTGCGCCGCCTTATATATCCACCAAGTGTATCTTCCAGGGTCGGGCGAATTATAAAGCACCGACCCATGAACGTACTTATCACCATTACCTGATACGGACTACATTCCTTCACTGTTGAAACAGATCTTGATACCTATGACTTGCTGTATGTTATGTAACGAGAGAAGGCTGATTCCATCCAGTGATGAAGAAGACAGAGGATGTACAAGGTTACTGATTCAGCTTTTTCACGGTTGGGGTTTTACCCCTAGAACAGAGCCGCCTCAGCCTGCAACATAAAGGTGGGCACTCTCAGTGTAAATACTTTCAGAATTTACATTAAGCCATTAACGCTGGAAATGTTTATGTCTCTAGGATGCGTCTTTTTATTGAAATTCGCAGCCGAATTCAGTGGATCGTACCAAGTTAGATTCACGGACGTGATTACCTTACATATATGTCGGTGTTTTAGGCCGAAGGCCCCATAAACTGATTTCTGATATTAATAATTAGATCGATCATTTTTTACTTATATTTTGAGAGATATATTCCATTCTGTATTTATGTTCTGCCTTTTTACATTTTGAGGCAAAACGAGCGATGTAATCTCATGTAACATGTCTGGGAAGTTTATTCCTCAACACAGCTTATGTAAATTTCGACCGATATTAAATAATAATTCAGGATATCATTCAAAGATGGTTCCCAGGATTCGTGACCATACATACCTTACGACGTTTCAGCAAACAAAACCGAAAACTCGGCCTTACATATATATATATATATATATATATATATATATATATATATATATATATATATATATATATATATATATATATATATATATATATGTTTTACTAGTAGCCAGAACGTCGTACTTGGCCTACTATGCAAGGCCCGATTTGCCTAATAAGCCAAGTTTTCCTGAATTTATATATTTTTCTCATTTTTTCTTATGAAATGATAAATCTGTCCATTTCATTATTTATAAGTTAATTTGTAGATATTTGAGTTAAAACTAACTCAAATTTCTTTTGAAATTTGAAAATAAGGATAAGAAAATAAGGTAAGAAAATATGGCCACATGCATCAAAAGTTCATTCTGGCCAGATAATAAGGCCAGAGAGAATGTGGCCTTAGGCCTGTCCTGACCAAAGGCCACGTTCTTCATTAGAATGCCCAATGAAATAATAAAGATATTTTTTTTATTAAGACGGAAGAACAAACACGAATAATTTACCAGAAATCATGTGTGACAAATTTGAGTCATTGTTCTCGTTCAATTTAAATATGTTTTGCCGTCAAACTTATTCAGGAATTTTTTTTAAATGTAGCTTATTCATATATATAAACATATACCTAAAAATCAATTTTATGAAAATAAAAGAAAATCTAGAATCTCTAAAATATAAAATTAAACTCTTGAGAAATAAAATAAAATACTGACTAAATAAAATACGTCGGCAATGTGAAACGAGGAACAAAATGTGTAATAATTCCACTCCACAAACATAACAGGGACCTCGTAGTAATGGGGCGATACAATGAGTCAGGACTTCTGATTTGCAGAATCACCCCCCAACCATGAGATTAATTAGGAGAAAAATTCTAGGTGAAATCAGATTCGCCTTTCATGTGAGGGGGCGAGACGTCCTCCCTGTGGGGAGCTAATGGTGGGTGACATGTTAGTTTTACTCCGTCTTGTCTGCTGCCTCATGGTCGTTGAGCGTCGCTGTCATGGTTTCAAGCCACAATTCTCACTCCACTTAAACTTTTTCTAGGCTAGATAATTCTCTGTTGAATTTTGACGTAAATAATTGATTACTGTTTGTTCTTTTTATAAAACCCCGTTTTTATACTTATCTTTAATATTTTTGGTTAAAAATATTTATATTTTATTATTATATAAATTTGTTTCGGTGTCCAGCAGTCTCAAAATATTTTTGTTACAGATTGTAATGACAGTTTTGAATTATATTATGTTATTGATTTCTAAAAATAATTACAATACTTAACAAATTTGGCAAAAATAAAACAAAGATTTATAAACTATTTATTTTGTAACTGTTCCGTGGACAAATTATAATTAAATTAATACATGAAAACACACACACACACACACACACACACACACACACACACACACACACACACACACACACACACACACACACACAAGGCAAAGACTCAGCCTAAATTGCTTTATAGCCACATCAAGAGAAAAAACAACAATAAAGGAACAGGTTATGAAATTAAGGATAGGGGCAGAAGGATGCACTACAAATGACAAGGAAGTGTGTGAGGAACTGAATAAGAAATTCCAGGAGGTCTTCACCTTAGAGTAAGGAGAAATTTCAGAGATAAGAGAGGGAATAGTTAACCAGGAACCACTGGAAGAGTTTGAGAATACCAGCGGGGAAGTAAGGAAGTGTTTACTTGAGTTGGATGTGCCAAAGGCTATAAATCCAGATGGAATCTCCACTTCTATACTAAAGGAAGGAACAGAAGAACTGTGCCTGCATAGTGCCTGTGCCTGTGCCTCCATGGTGTATAACAAATTACTGGCAACAGGAGAACTGCCAGGAATTTGGAAAGCAGCTAATGTAGTCCCGATATACAAAAAAGGGATAGACAAGAGGCACTGATCTACAGGCCAGTGTCCCTAACCTGCATACCATGCACGCTGATGGAGAAGATTGTGCGAAGAAAGCTAGTGGAACATCTGGAGCGAAATAAATTTGTAACACAGCATCAACATGGGTTCAGGGATGGCAGGTCCTGCCTCACAGGGTTACTTGAATTCTACGACCAGGCCATAAAAATCAGGCAAGAAAGAGAAAGGTGGGCAGTCTGCATATTTTTGAATTGTTAGAAAGCCTTTGATACAGTACCACACAAGAGGCTAGTGAAAATCCTGGAGATGCAGGCTGGAGTGAAAGGGAAGGTACTCCATTGGATAAAGGAGTACCTAAGCAACATGAGACAACGAGTTAGTGTGAGGGGTGAGGTCTCAGATTGGCGAGAAGTTACAAGTGGAGTCCCGCAGGGGTCAGTCCTTGGACCTATACTGTTTCTGATATATGTAAATGATCTCCCAGAGGGTATAGATTCGTTTCTCTCAATGTTTGCTGATGATGCAAAAACTTATGAGGAGGATTGAAACTGAGGACGATAGTAGGAGGCTACAAGATGACCTAGACGGACTGAGGTAATGGTCCAACAAATGGCTGTTGAAGTTCACCCCGAGTAAATGCAAAGTAATGAAACTAGGCAGTGGAAACAGGAGGCCAGACGCAGGATACAGAATAGGAGATGAAGTACTTAATGAAACGGACAGAGAGAAAGATCTAGGAGTTGATATCACACCAAACCTGTCTCCTGAAGCCCACATAAAGAGAATAACGTCTGTGGCATATGCGAGGCTGGTTAACATCAGAACAGCGTTCAGGAACCTGTGTAAGGAATCATTCAGAATCTTGTACACCACATATGTAAGACCAATCCTGGAGTATGCGGCCCCAGCATGGAGCCCGTACCTCGTCAAGCACAAGACGAAGCTGGAAAAAGTCCAAAGATATGCCACTAGACTAGTCCCAGAACTAAGAGGCATGAGTTACGAGGAAAGGCTGCGTGAAATGCACCTCACGTCGCTGGAAGACAGAAGAGCTCGGGGAGACATGATCACCACATACAAGATTCTCTGAGGAATTGACAGGGTAGGCAAGGATGGATTATTTAACACAGGTGGTATACGCACAAGGGGATTCAGGTGGGAGTTGAGTACCCAAATGTACCACAGAGCAAATGACCACAGAGACATTAGAAAGAACCTTTTCAGTGTCAGAGTAGTTAACAAATGGAATGCATTAGGCAGTGATGTAGTGGAGGCTGACTCCATACACAGTTTCAAATATAGATATGATAGAGCCCAGTAGTCTCAGG